GCCGAAGTTGAGCTTACACTCTCGACAACTGGATAACGTGTGTAGTCATCTATGACAACAATCAAATACTCTCCCGTTGGGAGCGGTCCATAGAAGTCTGCACTCACACTGTGCCATGGAGATTCTGGTAGAACTGACATTTTTAGTGGCTCATTCTGTGTAACTGGTGTATTGACTTGACATGCGAGACAACTGCGTACTGCTGTTTCTGCTTTTCGATCAATGTCTGGAAACCATACCTTGGTTCTGAGTAGTGTTTTAGTTTTAACAATTCCCTGATGTCCTTCATGGGCTAACCGTAGCACTCTCTCTTGTAGGGAAGTGGGAATAACTATTCTAGTCCCCCGCAGTACGATGTCTGAGTCATGTGATATTGATAGTTCACTGCTAACTTGTTTGAACTGCTTTAGTATGTCTGTATTACGTGACTTGTCCATTTTGTTCCATGTGTTGTGTCTGATGCACTCACTGACCTCTTGAAGGATTGTGTCTTTAAGAGTCTCAGCTTTGATCTCAGCGAGTGTCATAGCTTTTGGTATCGCATTACTCACGATGAAGTTAACATACTCCTCTGCCACTTTCGTTGCACGGCGTTGTCAGCTGTGTCAAAACGGATGGGGTGACGGGACATGTAGTCAGCAGGGTTGTCAGCTCCTTTTCTGTACTCCATCTTGAAGTCGTAGGGCTGAAGTCTTAGTCCCCATCTCTCAATTCTGGCAGGAGGTTTTGATCTTGGGTTATTCCATATAATCTCCAGAGCTTTGTGGTCAGTTACTAGAGTTACAGGATGACCATAAATGTACAGATGGAAGTGTTCACAACTCCACACAATGGCCAGAGCTTCTTTCTCTGTCTGTGAATATCTCCTCTCCACATCACTGAGAGATCGACTAGCATACGCTATTATATGCTTTTCTCCTTTTTCATCCTTTTGACTGAGAATAGCACCCAGTCCGACAGGGCTAGCATCCACAACTAACTCAGTCTCTTTGCTTGGGTCAAAGTATGACATAACTGTGTCACTTGTTAGACCGTTCTTTAATGCTTGAAATGCAGCTTGCTGTTCTGGACCCCATTCCCAGGGCAGGTCCTTTCTGGTTATCTTGCGAAGGGGCTCAGAGATAGAGGCAAAGTCTTTTATAAACCTGGAGCAATAATTGGCCATGCCCAGCAGGCTCTTGACTTCACTGACAGTCTGTGGTTCTGCAGCGTGTTGAACTGCAGCGACCTTCTTGGGGTCAGCTGAAACACCTTGTGCTGAGAAAACAAAACCGAAGAATTGAAGCCTGGATTTGTTGAACTCACATTTTTCACGGTTCAGTGTGAGACCGCTTTCTTTGAGTCTTTGGAACAGCGCTCGTAGGTTGTCGTCATGTTCCTTCTGAGAAGCGCCGTAGACTATGATGTCATCACTGAGGTTCTTGACGCCAGAGAGACCTTGTAGTGTTTGACATATGGTGTTTTGAAACACCTCAGCAGCGGAAGATATGCCAAAACTAAGCCTTTTGTAGCGCCTCAATCCAAGGTGAGTCGTGAATGTAGTTATGTACCTACTGTCTGGATGCAGCTCTAGTTGGTGATATCCAGCTCTCAGGTCCAGTTTAGAGAACACCGTAGCTCCATTTAACTCATGTATCACGTCGTCCATGGTGGGAGTGATGTGACGTTCTCTTTCTATGGCCGTATTAGCTTGCCGCATGTCAACACAGATCCTTACTTTGTTTGGAGCTTTCGGCTTAGGAGCTGCAACAATGGGCGAGACCCATGGCGTCGGGCCAGTGACCTCTTCAATGATACCATCTGCCTCCAGCTTCCGAAGCTCATCCTCAACCTTCTGGCGGATATGGAATGGCACTCGTCGATGAGGTTGACATGTGGGTTTGATGTCAGGATTTATATGTAGTTTCACCTGAAAATCTTGTAACTTTCCAATACCATGGAACAGTTCTGGATTGTTTGCTACCAGCTCATCAGCAGCTGTGCTATGCTGTGGTGTGGATGATACTGCAGTGACTATTTTAATCAGACCAAGTGTTTTCGATGTTTTATAGCTAAGTACATTAAAACAGTCACCTTTAATGACATAGAATGTGCACCTTGTTTTTTTCTGTCCCTTTTCCACGCTGCACTTGAATGCACCACTGACAGGCAAAGGAACATTGGAGCGGAAGGGGTAAATCTTGGTCGCACTGTGATTGAGCTGTGGGCGTGGCATTAGTGTCTCAAAACTCACTTCACTAATACAATTAGCTGAGGCTCCTGAATCGATTAGCACTTGCACATCACGGTCATTCAGCTTGATTTGCGTCTGTGGCAAGTCCGATGTATTGTCATCACTAACTGTGAACACATATTTATCATCACTGCTTGAGGAGTCATGTTGTGTTTCATTATCTGGTGCAGCTTTTGTTATGTGGTGGACTTTTCTGGAGTGTTGTTTAACAGTGTATCGGGGCTGTCTTTTAATACTGTCTTTGGATGTTGAGCGACATTGTTTAGCGAAATGGTTTAATTTTCCACAGGCTCTACATTCTTTGTTTTTAGCAGGACACTCACCATCATGAGGATATTTGCCTCCACAGTTCCTGCAGCGGTTGTTGTGAGTGAGACGTTGTTTTTCAGGCCACTTTCTATTGTTTGGATATTGCTTCTCCACGGGTTTCCTGTTAACTGCATTCACTGAAGGCGTAGCTGCTGTGTGTTTTTCCATGCCACTCGCTTGCATTTCCGACAGTTCAAGTGTCCTTGCGTGATCAAGGAGCTGATCCAAAGTCATATTTGGTTCCCTCAGTGCTTTCCTCCGCAGCCTGGATGACGTACAGCACTGTATTATTTGAGTTTTTATCTCCACCGTAGTATCTGCAAACTCACAATTCTTAGCCAGCATCTTCAGTCTAGTGTGATAATTGTCCAGACATTCTCCTGGTTCTTGCATGGCTTTTCTAAACATATAGACTTGGTACTGTGCGTTCTTCTTGGGAGAGAAATAGCCAGTTAGCTTCTCCTGCACGTCTGCATATTTATCATCCTGTGCTGCTAACGTGTCATATATGTCGTGCACACGTTCTCCTGCGATATGCAACAGCAATGCTTTAATTCTCGCATCTCCAGTAATGTTCATAGCAGTCACATAATTCTCAAACCTTTGCACCCATTTGTTCCACCGTGGTCCAATAGATCCAGGATCCGTTTCTGTGTCGAAAGGTGGTAGAGTTGCGTGTGCTGCGGCAGCCATGCTTGCTAGTTTTTTATCCAAGTTGTACAGTCACGTTGTTCTGCTTTAGCTTCGTGGTCGCTATTAACTTGGTCTCCGTCTGTCCAGTTTACTTTTCTTTCACTGAAAAATGCCTCTTTGCGTCTTTTCCTTTACTCCTCGTCGCCAATGTAATGTTTGTAAAACCCCGAGATGAAACAGGCGGACAACGACGTAGCAATGGATATGCTTTTAATCCAGAGGCTGCCGGTTACATTCACAAACAGTGACTAACTAACCATGACTGCTCTATATATGTGACGCCCAATAGATGGCGTTGTTGCTTCACTTAAAGCTGTCATCAACATTACATATGGGAGTGTGGTATATGGATCTGCAGCAAAGACAACACTTGCAAAGTTAGAAATAAATCAGGCACAGGCTCTTAGGATATGCATTGGGGCAGTGAAATCATCTCCAATATGTGGACTTCAGGTAGAAGTAGGAGAGAAGCCACTATGTTTAAGGGGGAAACAGCTATTAGCAAATTATTGGCTGAACTTGAGAGGACATGGAGATAGTCACCCAACAAAATCAGTGTTAAAGGTTTGCTGGGAAAAAGAGAGAACAATTAAGTCCAGATTTGGATGGATAGGGGATAGAGTGGCAAGAGATATGGGAGTGTATGACAAGGATATCAGTCCAGCTGTTTTATGGCCACCAGTTCCAATGTGGATGCTTGAGACAGCTGAAGTAGACTTGGAGTTACTAAAGATAAAGGAAAGAAAAATAAATGTTGATTTAGTTAGTGAATTCTATGAACACATAGAACAGAGATATGGAGATCATGTACAAGTATTCACAGATGGATCTGAAGACCCTATGACAAATGCAACAGGATCAGCTGCATTTATCCCAAAATTCAGTGTTGAAGTAGTGAAGAGAATGTCAGATTTCCTGAACGTGTACACAGTAGAGTTGTACGCCATTTTAGTTGTATTAGAATGTGTTGAGCAAATTAAAGGAAGGAAAGTGCTGATATGCAGTGATTCAGTCAGCGCTTTATACAGTATTCAATCAGGATCATCTCACAGTCGTCAAGATTTATTATATGAAATCATATTTACACATTCCCAGGTGGTTAAACGGGACAGATGTGATATTCATGTGGGTTCCAGCACATTCAGGTATAGCAGGAAATGAAAAGGTGGACAGGTTGGCAAAGGAAGCTGTAAAGAAAGAGAGGATTGATATTAACGCCAAATATCTAAGTCAGAGGGGAAACGAGTCACATGGAGTAAAATTAAACAGGAATGACAAGAATATTGGAACAATCAGACAAAGGGAAGACATTTATACTCAATTCAGAGGGAAATAGATAAAGTAAAATACAGAGGGAGCAACAGAAGAGAGGAGGTCGTAATGTCCAGGTTAAGAATCAGTCAAAGTCATTTAAATAGCTCTCTACATATCACTGGAAAACATTCATCTGGTCTTTGTGAAATATGCAATCAAGCAGAAACAGTTGAACATGTAGTTATTAAATGTAGAAAGTATGTAGCACATAGACAGAACATGATGTCAGAAATGGAGAGAGAGGGACTCGTAAGAAGAGATGTAAAAAGTATTTTGGAGTGAGGTGAAAGAGGGAGAGGCTGAAGATGCTTGTTTAAATATCTCTTGAGAACAGGTTTGTTGAGGAGGATTTAGGAATGTGAGTAATAATTAAATCCAGCAGATGGCAGTAGTGCAACTTTTTGGATGCCAGCTGCCAATAAAATCCAAAGAAGAAGAAGAAGAGGAAGGCAAGATGGCGGACCGGGTGCAGCGTATTTTCTGAGCTCCGTCTGCTTGTCCCAATTTTACACATACTTTAAAATCCACCTCAATTCTATGTGATCGTATGAATCTCTAATACATCATACCGACGCTTTAACCTTACAGTGCTCCGGAAATTGCAGCATGAAGACGAACAAGAAGCTCTCTTCAGCCCGCAGTAGCTCGGAGATTTACGGCCATGATGATGCTAAGATGGAGGTCTCTACCGAGAGCTCCAAAAGAAAAGAGCCTTTCTCTCCAGCGAAGAACCCACCAGCAACTAAAAAGAAGGACACTGGGTCAGAGGAAGGTAGGGAAGGAATGAACGAAGTCCTGAACACTATAAACCAGCTAACTGGAACAGTGGACACTCTAGGTACAGATACAGCAACACTCAGTGATGCTAGCTAACATAGCTAAAGTAGTTGAGTTCAATGCTGCAGAAATAAAGGACTACTCAGAGTAAACAAGAAGCGAGTCGTGCGGACCCATGTGACACTGGACTAAAGGAAAACCCTTCAAAATAAAAGCAGGACAAAAGACTACATAGATAGCGATACTAGACATGGTCCATCAGTGTAATAATAAATGTGGGAAAATTTCACTGTAAACATTTAAAGTAAACTATGGTCAAACTTGGATCAGACAACAGAATGCAATGTGACTGTCGCTGGCGCTGCTTGAGTTAAATAGGTTGCCATAGCAACACATGAAGTTAAAAGGCTTGACTTTTATTTAATATGATTGTTTATTTGTTTTCCTTTAAATGCAATCTTAAAAAGCAGGTTATACTGTTAATTCAGTAATTTATTAGTCAAGATCTTTTTATTTCTGTTTGTTATGTTGTCGTGTCGATAAAGTTTCTTTGAATGTCACATGACATTATTGACCGGAAAGCTAGACTACGTACAGCAGCACGGACTTTGAGAGAGATAGAAATCGCGGGTTCTGCAGAGAACTTTATTATCCCGTCCTTCTTCATTCCTAAGCGTTGGTCAGCAGGCGAACACGGTAAATATTGTTTTACATAACGTTTAATTTACCTTTTGACATATGAAGTGATTTTAGCTGAAGGCTAAAAACTGTCTTGTCTGTTCTAGTTTTCACGGTGTCTCCATGATGTGTCTTCTGTGAAGATTAAAGCTTGTTGTGGACATCAGTATGAATCGTGGACTTTTTACTGACTTTCCATGTTTTGATTTGCACATGAAATCAATGTCTGGATAGGGTTACAAATAATTTCAGTCACCTATGAAGACAATGCTTTTATGTGCAATTTAATACAGGGAAAATCACATTGCATTCTATCTATCTATCCTTTCCGTGCTTTTATTTTGAAGTGTCTCCTTTCAGTCGTGTCACATGGGTCTGCAGGACCCTCGTCTTGTTTACCGTAAAGGAGCTGATAAACAGAATAGAACGTTTATTAATAAGAACTTTTAATTATAGGTGAACTCAATGTGCTCTACATTGATGATAAAAACAGGAATACAAGAGACAAATGGTTATCTCAACAATCAAGACAAAACAAAAAACACACACACACACTCATACTCAAAGACTAATTATTCGTATGCTTGAGAGAACAGAGGTTTTAAGTTTAGCTTTAAAAGTAGAGACACCTTTACCATTACAATCATCCAGGATTGAATTCTCACACCCCATGGTACATGAGGATGGCATTGCAACACCAACTAGAGAAAGTGAGACAGCGGCAAAAGGATCACTTGCACTTCAGATGCCACAGAGACGCACAACATCGAACTCAGTGACTTGAATTCTGTGTTTGCACAGAGTTGACTTCACCTGCTACACCTCAACATCCGGAGTCTTATTCCAAAGGTACATGAATTTCGCCATCTCTGCCTTTAGAGTAGAGTGGCGATTTTATCATTCTCTGAAACATGGTTGGATGCCTTCGTTTGTGATGCAGAAGATTATACCGCGATAAGAAGAGATAGAATCAGGAAAGGAGGAGGTCTGTGTGTTTATATCAGATCGCATTTGGCTTTTAATGCAAGATCTGACTTGAATAACGACCTAATCGAGGCAGTATGGCTGGATGTTTTACTACCCAAAACTAAACCCATCTTAGTCGGGGCCTGCTATCGTCCACCGGACCAGTATCATTTTTACGAGCTGCTGGAGGAAACATGCAATAACTCTGTTGATTTTACAAAATCAGAGGTCATAATCGCCGGGGACATGAATACAGACATCCGCAAGCCTTAAGAATTACAGTCCATCTGCTCTATGTGAACACTTGAGAACTGTAAACTGGTCTGAAGTTATGAATTGTGACACTGTTGACAAAGCCTGGGTTATTTTTTAAATCAAGTTTTCTTCAAGCTGTGAATAACAGAGCACCCTCTAAGACCATCAGAATAAAGCAAAGAACTGAGCCTTGGATGTCAGATGATATTTTAAAGGTCATTACATGAAGAAATTCAGCTTTTAAAGAATTTAAGAAGAACCAAAATGAGAGTGATTTTATTCAATATAAGAGCTTGCGCAATGATGCACAAAGGCTCATTAACAATGCAAAAAAATCTTTCGTCAAAGAAAAGATCGTTGAACATAAAAAGGATCCAGGAAAACTTTGGAAGGCTCTCAGGGACCTGGGATATAGCGAAAAGTGAAAAACAAGGTCTGTTAGGCTCAGTTTGGAGGTGAACGGTAAAGTTACCTCAGACAAAAATGAGGTGGCTGATTATTTAAATATCTACTTTACTACAGTAGCTGAAAATCTAGTAGAGAAGCTCCCTGATCACTCGGGTGTATTCAATGAGGAGCAGGTGCAGAGGCATTACTCACAATACGGCATTCAGACAGGATGATTTTCTTTTTGTGAAGTCAGTGATAGTAAGGTCTTTAGGAGACTGCAGGAACTCAATCCTAGTAAAGCTACAGGTTTAGATAACATTTAAGCGAGGTTTCTTAGAGACTCTGGAGTTATTATTGCTCCATCTGTGACCCATATAATAAATATGTCAATAGAACATGGTAATGTTCCAACAGCGCTTAAGAGTGTCTAAGTTCTCCCCCTCACCCCCCCACTATAAGAAGGGTATTCAGATAGATGGGGGGAACTACAGACCAGTTTGGATTTCATGTGGTGTGTCAAAAGTCATGGAAAAGATCATTCATGTACAGATTGAGGAGTACATCCAAAGCAACAACATTTTATTCCATCTTCAGTCAGGATTTAGAATATCTCACTCGACTGAATCATGCCTGTTGTTTCTGACAGACAAAATAAGAAAAGAAATGAACTTTGGCAAGCTCTGTGGAATGGTTATGTTAGACCTGCAAAAGGCATCCGACGCAGTTGATCATAGCATTTTGATTTGCAAACTAAAAGCTTTGGGTTTTAATGATGCGGCCATTCGGTGGGTTCAATCTTATCTGACTGATGGATAACAAAGGGTAGATGTCAATGGGACATTATCCAATCCAAAACCTGTTACTTGTGGTAACAAGGGAGTTTTTTCCGGCCTTTATTGTTTTTATTATATAACAATTATCTTCACTCAGCTTGTTCATATGATATATGCTGATGATGCTGCATTGTTAGTATCCCAAAAAGATAAAATAGTTATGGAAGACACTTTGAGTGTAGAGGTTCAAAAGGTGGTGAGATGGCTCTCAGATAACAAACTTTCCCTTCATTTAGGAAAGACAGAGGCCATCCTCCTAGGGTCACAAATCAAATTGAGAAAATCACCTGATTTCAATAGATTGGTCAGACATTAATTTTATCAAAATCGTCTGTAAATTACCTTGGATGTGTTCTGGATAATATTTAATCAGGGGAGAATATGTCTTAAGAGCTCTCAGTAAAATTTACAATAAAACAAAATTCCTTGCAAGAAAAGCCAAATTATTGGATATACCAGCCCTAAAAACACTAGCAGGAGCATTGGCTTTCAGCCACTTTGATTATGCTGCCACCTTCTGGTACAATAGTTTATCACAGTCTCTAAAAAATAAATTACAGACTGCACAAAATAAGCTAATAAGAGTTGTTTTGAAGCTGTCCCCCCGGACAGAGGCAGCTCGACACATTTTATTCCTATGAGATACGAAAGCTGTTTTGTAAAAAATATTTTTTTAAATACTGCCACATCACAAGCTGCCCATCTTCCTTGAGACAATCCCGGTTGAGAGGAGTTTTAAGTCCGATCTCACAAAATGGCTAGTAAATAATTTGTAGATCTATACATTGTTTTGTTTTTTATATATATTTTTCATTAATTTGTTTTGTGTTAGTCTGATGTCACTCTTGCCTGACACCTTATTTGATCTGCCGTCTTGTACTGTGATAGAGGACAACAATGGAAATAAGCCCTCTGGCTTTTTTCTGTATTTTAATCCTCGACAGTTTATTTTTCTTTATATGGAGTCTGATATCATCAGCCTGTCATTTATGTGTTTAAATTTTGTCAAATAAATGTATCTATTTATCTATGGACCTCAGGTCAGCAGGTAGTTTGTTCCAGGTAGAAGGACCACAGTAACTAAAGGTCCCCTCTCCAGACTTTGAACTAATTCTTGGTATGACTAACAGACCTTCACTTGATGACCTGAGGGCCCGGGTCGGGTTGTAGTCTGAAAACACTTCTTGTTACAGTTTTTAGCTTTTGTGTTTTGTATGCAATATTCATTTCCTTTGCTTCATTTGTTTAATTGATCAACTGAACAAACTACTTGTGGTTGATTTTAGAGTTTTAAAATACATTTTGTATATCATGCTACAAGTAGTGATGGGCGATATAACGATCTTAGATCGTGAAGGATTTTAACTTGCTGACGATCTGCCAAAGCAGGGAGATCGTAGAACCGGGCTAATGTGTTTATTCTGTCATGCTGCAGTTTATGCTCCGACACATACACGTCTCCCTCCCTCCATTTTTGCTCCGCAGCGGTGAAAACGAAACTTAAAAGTAAAGTCCGCAAAAACAACTCCATCCCGGTTATATGCAACTGTTCTGATATATTTCCAAACTGACACGCTGTGAACAACAGTTAACTTATTTGTATAGTTTGCACAGTTAAGTTTACATCTCGGATAGCAACACATGAAACCGTTATACGAGCTGGAGAGACGTCAACAGTCTGCAGAGAGACAGACAGAGCAGAGCTCAGACAGACAGTGATGGGAGATATAACCCCAGTGTTTAAAATGTTGCTGTCGGTGTTTTCTGCTCTCTCTCAGTTTTTAAAAGTTACTTATCAAGCCTCTCCACCCGAAGCTCACCTGTTGTGATAACCGAATTTATAGGGATTAGGCTATACGACGTTACAAAGCAGCAGGCAGGTGAGAGTGAGTAACCATGGTGACTGTCTGTCTGTCAATCAACAATGTCCCGCCCCCTCTATGAATTAAACTCTTCTGTCAGTAAAACTTACTTTGATCATGTGTCATAGAATAAGCACATTCTGTATTATGTTTGATTATATATTAAAAAAACTAGAGTTAGTCCAATGATATCATAAAAAAACAACAAAACCTATAAACAAAGGCTGCAGGGCCTGTATGAAGCTACAGCTGTAGGAACTCTGCAGGGCTAAAAAGAACAGAAACACAAGAACTTGAAGTCTACATGTTTTTAAATGACTGCATCACTGGGTGAAAATGTTCCTGATTAGCACAAAAAGAGGACACATAACTAAATCATCATTTCAAAGTGGTGAGGAAAACCTTCAAATTGTGCACAAATATTGATCAAATTGAGGGAAAGACATTTCTGTTGCTGAAGATGTTCTGGGTGAGACCTCCAGACCTCCTACAAAGATGTTTTTCAAATAGATTAAACTTGTCTGCACAGTTTTTGTGCATTTAAAAACATTATACAGGGAAATAAGTTTGGTTGAACTGGTCAGTAACTTACAAATTTGTCTAAAGAACAGTATGAAAAAAATCATGATAAAATCGTGATCGTGATTTTTGCCCAAAAGAAATTGTGATATGATATTTTTCCCATATCACCCACCTCTAGCTACAAGTTTTTGTCTTGTGTTACAAAACGATCAACCTTTGTAGCAGCAGCGCTATGAGCACAAAAAGTGAATGTACAGCCCTGGCCTAAATCAAAAACCAAGGAAACAAATGACACATAATACTTCCCTAAGGGTTTGAAATGTTGTGTGTCCACTTGTTTTATTTTGTTAATGCACTTTAATTTGTAAAGATTTCCTAAGAATAGAGTATCTTCACTCTTCCTCAAATTCCTTATTTTCATTCAAAATAAAGGTAGGTTTGTATCCAAAAAGGAAGTAAGGTAACCTAAGCTTAAGACAAAATTATAAAATAAAAGAATTAAAAACTTTTTTTTAAATGTAAAATAAGTGAATTCCAAACACTGTGATCAATTCCAATGAACTATTGATTTTCAGCCTTTAAAAATGAAATCATTTGACAGCCCTTATTAATATTTAAAAAGCAGTCTAATCACCGTTAATGTTTGTTTACTGTGTCCTGCAGATGTCCAGCAGCTGTTGGTGAGTAAAGAAGAGCTTCCACCTGAGCAGCAGGAGTGGAGCCACATTCTGGACCAGGAGGACACTAAGCCCCAACACATTAAAGAAGAACATGAGGAACTGTGGATCAGTAAGGAGGAAGAACAGCTTCAAGGACTGGAGGAGGCTGATACCGCCAAGTTCCCCTTCACTCCTGTCTCTGTGAAGAGTGAAGATGATGAAGAGAAACCTCAGTCCTCACAGCTTCATCAGAGACAAACTGAACAGATGGAAACAGGAGTTGATGGAGAGGACTGTGGAGGAGCAGAACCAGAGAGAGACTCAGATCTAGAGAGACGTTTACAACCAGAGACTAAGCTCGAGATTGAAGACTCTGATGAACCTGAGACTGATGACAGTGATGATTGGCAAGAGACAAGAGAAGATTTGTCAGAATTAAACTTAAAGAATAAGAAACTAGACACTGGTAAGAGACCACACAGGTGCTCGGAGTGTGGTAAAAGATTTAACCTGCAAAGAGATCTGACCACACACATGTTAGTTCATAAAGGAGAGATAGCCGTAAGCTGCCATGAGTGTGGTAAAAGCTTTAGTTCTAAGGGATATCTGACGAAACATATGATGATTCACACAGGAGAGAAACCCTTCAGCTGCTCTGTTTGCAGTAAAAGTTTTACCCATAGAGGAAGTCTGACATATCACATGTTAATTCATACAGGAGAGAAAGCCTTCAGCTGCTCTGAGTGTGAGAAAAGATTTAACCTGCAAAGAAATCTGACTAGACACATGTTAGTTCATACGGGAGAGAAACCCTTCAGCTGCTCTGAGTGTGGTAAAAGATTTAACCTAAAAGAGCATCTAACCACACACATGATGATTCACACAGGAGAGAAACCATTCAGCTGCTCTGAGTGTGGTAAAAGATTTAACCTGCAAGGATATCTGACCAAACACATGATAATTCACACAGGAGAGAAACCCTTCAGCTGCTCTGTTTGCAGTAAAAGTTTTACCCATAGACAAAGTCTGAGGTATCACATGTTAATTCATACAGGAGAGAAAGCCTTCAGCTGCTCTGAGTGTGAGAAAAGATTTAACCGAAAAGAGCATCTGACCGCACACATGATGATTCACGCAGGAGAGAGACCCTTCAGCTGCTCTTTGTGTGGTAAAAGGTTTTGTTCTAAGCAACATCTGAAAAGACACATGATGATTCACATTGGAGAGAAACCCTTCAGCTGCTCTGAGTATGGAAAAAGGTTGACTTCTGAGAGAAATCTGACCAGACACATGACGATTCACACTGGAGAGAAATGCTAATCCTTTACAATGGTGTTGGCCCTCAGCCATGTGTGCTGGACAAAGGACTCAGGCCTGTATCACAGTTCTCAAGTCTGACTAGAGTTATTTTGGAGGGAACCAAACAAAGGAGTCTTAGCCCAACAGCAACTAACAAATAGGTGTGAAAAGTGGGGGGTGGGGGTGTCTGAATTCTCTATCCTCATTGGAGGAGGCCTGAGGTTAACCCACAGGCAGTTCCAGTCTTTAAAAGCAATCGCCAGGCATTGCTTCTGTCACTTTAAGTGTTGTCTGCTGACATCCGAGGATAAACTCTCCAACAAGATGGACTCCAGCATTCGAGACAAACCCTTCCCTCCTCTTGACTTGCATAGGTTAAACTCCAGAGCTGAGGTTGCTCAGTCTAGGTAGCTCTTCACATGCTGAATTCAAGCATCAGAGGATTCAGCTGACTACTTCCACGGCATATTTTTTTGGAGTTTTGGGCGCAATCAGATGCTATCAGGTTCAAGCAAAAAGAAGAGTTTCTTTCCTTTGATTTTTCATAAGACGTCATTGAACGCAACTGAACAGGAGCGCTGAAGGAAGCCCACTGATCCCTGAATCCACAAGGAAACATAAAGAACTTGGCTCCTGGAACCAGAAGACCACAGAGCAGCGCTCTGGTCGAAGATCTGAATCCTGCTATCCTCCTCCTAAATCTGCCTAGAAGGAAACCTGCCTGAATCTGTTGATTTAATATTCAACAGAGAGAAGATCTAACCAACTTTGCAATGATCACCAGGAGTTACCCCAAGTAAGGGCTTTGGTCTGGGAAGAAATAGTTTCAGAAATAGTTATGTTTCTTTTATAACCACTGATAATTATGCATCATTATTGACGACACGTCACATTCTGTTTAGTATCTGTTGTAAGCTGCTGCATTTGTTTTATTGTAATGAACTGCTGTGTTCGCCTATGTATGTAATTGCTATGCTAGTTTACCTTCAGTCAGCGGCTTTCACAATCAGAAAGACCAGTGTACCCGCCGTTGAATCAAAGTCCAGCCACTTTCTGGTGTTTAAGTAACAGTTACTGAACTCAGCTCAGAGAGCTCAAACTATTTTAAAAGGTAGCCACATGGCTTCCTTTGTTGTCCACCATTTTGTCACCATGTGACAAAGCCACATGGTGCATTGTCTCTCTCCACCATCTTGTTTTCTCTCTCTCTCTCTCATCCACACACACACACACACACACACACACACACACACACACACACACACACACTACACTTTTAAACCTCATTCACAAGCCTTGCTTGATAATGTTTGTTTGCTTAGATTAGTTTGTAATAGTTATTTGTTTGATTAAGGTCATTGATTTTTGGATTGATGTTGCTTTGTTTAAATAAATTCTGTTATAATTTAAGAGAGCAGTTGTTTGTGATTACTGGTGTATTTGCATTGTGATATAAGCTGGGTGCAAGGGCTTTGTGTACGGATTTCACGCCTTCAATTTATTAAATATAGTCATTAAATATTATTAATAATAATAATAATAATAGTAATTAAGTAACTAATTTGAGACTGATTTTAGTGAGATTTTGGTTATATTTCCCTGATTCCAGGATGGTGCCCCAAGAGTGATTAAACATAGTTTAATGATATTGTTATTTATATTGTTAATAATTAAATATAATTATTGAAGAATATAACCAAAGTTGACTTGGTAAAACCCCAACAATGGTAAAACTGATCCAAAGGAATCCAAGTTAACAACATCATTAATGTGTATTCACAAGTATGTATTGACTAACAGATGTATAACTGTTGTTATGAAGGGATTTAAGACAATTCTATTCACAGGAATCTGTCTGTACTTTTTTTACTTTTGTGATGTTTTGTGTGTTTATATGAAACAGTTACAGTGTAAGGTTCCTTCTTCTCTCCTGATATCTTCTTTTCTTTCTGTCACTCTGTTTTTTTGGAGGCCTCTGTGTTGGGTAGCACTATTTGTTTTACCGAATACCGAACAGTGAGCATATTTTCCGGAACACCTCGGACTCGAAGTTCCATGATACCATGTACCATGATCACTGTGCACTGTCTGTGGTGCACCATAACGACAAGCCCACTCTGACACCGGCAATTCAGCCACAGTCACTGCTTGTTCATTGGGTAGGGGAAAGGCTTTTACCCATTTTGTGAAATAGTCCTGCATTATGAACACATACCTGTTTTTTGTCTCGTTCAATGGCTACATGATGTCCAAGGCGATGCGTTCCATTGGAGCAACCACCCTGATGGTTCCCATGGGGGCCTTTGGTGTCTTGTGAGGCCTGGCTTTCACTGCAGAACTGGAGTATGTGCAGCACCAGAGAGCAACGTCCTCTCTCGTGATACCAGTAGTGTCACTCTGTAGCCGTGCCACAATGGCCTCTACCCCGAAATGTCCCCTAACCGGTCTTTCATGCACTGGCCTCATGATGTCTGATTAAATGGCACGTGGCAGTACCACTTGAGGATAGAACTGGGTATCATCCTGGACGTAGAGACGCTTCCACTGGCTCCAGTACGCCTCTTTGGCTAGACTGCGAGCTGAGATGGTAGTCCATGGAGGGCGCTCTCCACTAGTTGCTATCCATGCTGTAACAGGTGCAAGGTCTTGTTGGTGGACGGTGGACGGTGGACTGCCTGAATAACCCCCCCCACCCATCTCTCTTCCTACATCTTATCCCATCTCCATCCATCCCCAGCTCTCCTAATCATCTCTGCTAAGCTCAGCCGAGTCAAGTCCTTCGACTGGATCAAGGTGAGAGGCGAGTTCATCTGCTTCATCTGCTCTTAACTGATGAAGTATTTTTCTAATGGACCAACTAAGTTTCTTTCTCTCGTTGCCAGACATGGGTGCTGCAGTCGGAGTTAACAGTCCTGCACTCCTTAGACTTGGGCCCCTTTAACCTGGTCCTTTCACCTCTTGAGCTGCCTACTAGAAAACCCCTTTTGTTCCAGCAACACATCGTCAGCCTGGCGCTTGGGTCCAATAGATCACTGGATCAGCATGCAGTTGTTACTCAGGCGATGCGGATCCCGGACGAGCCCCCAAAAAACTGTGACAGGTCTCAAAGTGAGATCCCATATGCAGATAAGTCAAAATGACTTGGAAAAAACCATAAAAGGACTGTATCTGAGCATCAAGCAGCGAAAATATCAGCTATATCGTCAGTCTGGTGAGATAAAATGCCACCACCAATGAAGATTTGTTTATTTTTCAAGAAGTGACTAAATTAAATCAGTACCCTTTTTATACATAGCTAATAGCTAATTTATTCATTAAAAAAATCTGTTTTGTGTACAATAGATGTTTTTTTGTTTCACATTCTAGATGGCAATAAGCGGAGACATCAGCTAAGAAAAAAGATTGCTGCAGAAAAGAAAGCCTTGGAAGATGCCATCAGTAAACATAATTGTAACTGTTGCAATTATTGTTTACCTTTATAATGTAGAAATTAAGAATTAGGTTGTATTTAAGTTTAGCTTTGGTAGAATATTTATACGTTTAAGTTAATCATTTTATTAAATACAAGTGACTTTTATTTTGGAGTTGACTTTGATGTTGCGTTGGACTGCTCTCTTAAGATTTTGATTTGCAGCGATGCAGCGGGTGTCGACAGCATGGCAGGCATGGACTCTCACTGAATGAAAGTTGGACTTCACAATTCTCTCTTATTAGCATGCAGCCAACGAGGTAGTTTGATTTCATTTGTATTTTGCTTTTGGTTGACTGTTGTTGCATTGATCACATGCTGTATGTGTTATTATTTATGTTTGCCTATATTGTTTAATAATTGTCATGTTTTATACCATTTAGTTTTCACTGTGGATTTGACGAAAGCTTCGAATAAACCTGTTGCAAGAAAGCCAATTGTGTCTGCTGTGCTTGGAGGGAATTACAGTGAAAACTCGCACGAATTACAGTGAAAACTCGCACTCGAGAGAGGGAAGTAAAATGACGTACAGTTTTCAGAGCATCGTTTCCAGAAAAATCCATTAAGAAACTGGACACTAAGAAGTAAAGGGTTGTCTAAGAAGGATTCTGTAACGGTTTGCTAATTTACCGTGAAAGTTGCTTTTTGTGTGATATGTGTTTTGAATTATGTGCTCTCGAATCTAAAGAAGCTTGCTGCTTAAGATATCTTTGAAAGTGTAAAGTTGAAAAGGTGTGCGCTTAGAAATAATTAGAGGTAGTTTTTCATTTGATCCTAAAGTTTCTGAGTATTTTGAAGTGTTATATTAAGCATATTTTGAAAGTAATATTCAGAGTTACGATAGGCTGTTTTTTGCACATTTAGGTTTTTTCTTATAAGTACACTTGAGATCTAATTATTGATTTAAAATAATATTTCATTTTTTGTAAGCTTTAAAAAAAAACTGTCAAGTGATACATTTAAGATACTGTTAATTTAAAGGTTAAAGAGATTTATTTACAAAGGTTGGTCAAAATAGTGATCTAAGATGTCAAAGACAGATGAGCCTACAGTTCAAGTGAGGCATAGTGCCTCACTTGAACTGTAGTTCAAGTGCAGATAAAGGAAAAGATGGTGATGCTGAAGACCAACAAGAGAGAGAGCAGCAACCAAGAAGAAGCCAAAGAACCAAATACTTAACAGAGAAGGGTAAAGAAATGCAAGATGGCAAAATTAAAGGGCTTCAACAAAGGTTCAACTACATTTATGACAAATGGAAAATTCAAGTCAAATCAAAGAAGCAGTCATTATCCAAATCAACAGAGCCTTTATCTGAAGACTTGCTAAAGGAAATCATATGTAATGTCACAAGTCTTTCTGCAGATATCCAGCGTGTTTATGATGAACTACGAACTTTCAGCTATGAACTTTCAGCTCCAGACCAAGACATTCGTCGAAAAGTAGATCGGTGTGTAGAGGTTTCTAAGTTCATTGTGTCCAAAGTCTCAAGTCAACTTGATGGAAAAACTACAGAAGAACAGCAAGATTGGCCTGAAGCAGGTTCTCTCTTTGACTCAAGCTCTTACAAATCAGGTTCTGTCACTTCTTTATTGAAAATCGGTTCAGAACAATCAAGCAAATCTTCTGTAAAACGACAAGAAGCTGCAGCTGAGGCCACTGCAAGTCAAGCTGTTCTGAAAGTGTTAAAAGAACAAGAAAAAGAACAACTAGAAATAGAGCGTCTTGAAGCAGAAGCTAAAAGGAAGTTAGCTGATGTTGGGGTTGTATCAGGTCAACTTTGGTTATATTCTTTAATAATTATACTTAATTATTAATAATATAAATAAAATATGGGGCACCAACCTGTAATCAGGTAAATATAACCAAAATATCACTCAAATCAGTCTTAAATTAGTTATTTAATTACTAATATTATTAATAATGAATAACTATATTTAATAAATTGAAGGTGTGAAATCTGTACACAAAGCCTTCGCACCCAGCTTATATCACAATGCAAAT